GCTTCTCGGCCCAGGCGCTGTGCGCGCTGATCTGGGCCGCGGCCGTGCTGGCCTCGCTGCCCAACGCCCTGTTCGCCACCACCGTCCGGGTGCTGGGCGAGGAGTTGTGCCTGGTGCGCTTCCCCGACCGGGCGCCGGGCGGCGGCCGGCAGTTCTGGCTGGGCCTCTACCACCTGCAGAAGGTGCTGCTGGGCTTCCTGCTGCCGCTGGGCGTCACCAGCCTGTGCTACCTGCTGCTGGTGCGCTTCCTCTCCGGCCGCCGCGTGGCGGGGACCCCGGGAGGGGCCCCGGCGGCCGGGGGCGGCCTGGCAGCCGCCAGCGCCCGGAGACGGTCCAAGGTCACCAGGTCGGTGAGCCTCCTGGTCCTCGCCTTCTTCCTGTGCTGGCTGCCCAACCAGGCGCTCACGGCCTGGGGCGTCCTCATCAAGCTGGACGCCGTGCCCTTCAGCCGGGGCTACTTCCTGTGCCAGGTGTACGCCTTCCCGGTGAGCGTGTGCCTGGCGCACGCCAACAGCTGCCTCAACCCCGTGCTCTACTGCCTGGCGCGCCGCGAGTTCCGCCAGGCGCTCAAGGCCTGGCTGTGGCGCCTGGCGTCCCCGTCGCTCACCAGCATGCGCCCCTTCACCGCCACCTCCAAGCCGGAGCCCGAGGACCAGGCGCTGCCCACCCTGGCGCCCCTCCGTCCCGTCGCGGAGCCCGACCTGCCCTACTACCCGCCGGGGGTGGTGGTCTACAGCGGCGGGCGCTACGACCCGCTGCCCAGCAGCTCTGCCTGCTGAGCCGGGCGGAGGAGCGAGGAGAGAGGGCTGGGGGTGCCTGCTGGGCGCGGGGGTGCTGGGGCTGGCTCAGAGCCGGGAGGAGAGGAATCTGGCGGAGGGGCCGAGGTCAGCCTCACCCAGGGCCAGGCCACCGCCCTCCGGCCCTCCCACGAGCACCTCTCCTCGCCTCCCCTGCCAGCGCTGGGCAGTGGGGGGGCTCCCGGCAGGAACAAGGCATAGGGACTGTGGAGAGCTCGGGGCGCGAGGACATGGGGCTCAACCAAATGGAGCAGACAATCCAGCGCATTTGTTCCAGCGACTTTTCTGGAGCCCTCGAAAGGGTCCTCTAGGCGCACGCAGCCAGGGGCGCCCACCCCAAAACCTTTCCTCTGGCCTCGGCCAGGAGACTGCCCCGGGGCCAAGGTCTGATCTGCGTGGCTCTGCGGGCACCAAGAAACTTTTGAGTTGGGAGAAAGGAGTGACAGTCTCCGCCCCCAGGAGAAAAGCACCCTGAGAGGGGCACCCCCAGGGGCTGAGGTGTCCTTTACCATCCCCATCTCCACTCTGCGGGACCTCTGCCCTCCAATGGCTTGGGGGCAAAACGTTTGTATCCAGAGCAGAGCCATTGGCTGGGGACTGGATCACGGAGGCGGGGAGTGGAGGCCGGGTGACTAGAGGGGCTGGATAGAGGCCTCCTCAGGCTCCTGCCTCTAAGGAAAAGGGGCCTCTCCGCTCACTTCACAGCAGGAGGTGAGTGCACTGCCAGTAGGAAGCCAGGGCTCCGGGTTCTCCCCAGAGCCCCTTGGGTGCCTGGAGACACTGTGCCCCCCAATCTCTGACCTGCAGATGGGGAGCTGTGCCCAGGAGCAACTTGAAGCGGTCTGAGTAGACATGTTACTGTGTGTGTGTGTGTGTGTGAGAGAGAGAGAGAGAGAGAGAGAGAGAGAGAGAGAGAGAATGCTCTAGCTCCCTTCCTCATCGCAGCAGCCCATTCAGTGTCCATCTGAAAAGAGCTTCATGTGTAATAAAGCGCATGCCCTGTGGTTGGCCAGAGGTGACTAAGTTTGACTTCTTGGGGGTCCAGGTAAGATGGCCCGTGGCTATGGCACACCCTCCCAGCTGGCCAATCATTCATTTCAAAGTCTTCAGGCAAACACCAGAACAGCCCTCGGAGAACAGGTGAGGAGCTACACACTGAATTCAGGAAATGATGCCATTTGCACTCCTTGCAGAGGCCCAGGTAGGGTAGGCACAATAAGAAAGGCGGCTTGTTGCTGTTGCTTTTGTCATGCCCAGCGCTGGGTCACGTGGGCTCCTCTGGGCATTCACCCCAGGCTCCTCTCAGTCAGCCTGGCCTTGCTTCTCTAAGTGGGGTGATGTGGTGGGGAGCGGGAGGAAGGAAGGCTGGGGAAGACCGAGTAGCTTGCCATGTGACTCGCCCAGAAGAATGACTTCACTTGCGAGTGAGTGTACCAGCAGCACGCAGGGGCTGGTTGGCGGCGGGCTGTGAGAGGCAGCCTGTGGAGAGGAGAGCCAGGCTCAGAGGCTAAGGCGAACAACAGCACGCTGCGGGGGAGCGGGGGGAGACAGCCCCCCTCGGTGTGGAAATACCCGGGGACCTGGAGAAAATGGAATAAACTGCCGGAGCCTGGAGTGCCTGATGCTGGCTTCCTGCCGTGGGTCCTGCTGGTCGCAAGTGTGAGCGGCGGGAAGGGGGTGCCCCCTTTGGTGTAAGCCCCCACCCCACCCCCACACACGGCCTAGAAGGGCCAGGTCACAGGGCTGTCCCAGATGCCCACACCCAGCACTGCCCGCCACAGGTGTGCTAACCCAGTAGCAGCAGAGAGCGGCTCTTAAAACGAAAAGGAGGCAATTAGAAAAGGAGGCAATCAAGACAATTGCAGCCGCCACCTGGAAGCCGAGCAGCAGCGAGAGGAGAAGGAGGGTGAGCTAGGGGCTGCGGTTTGAGACCACAGGGAACCTGGGAGGGAGGGGGAGGCTGCCGCACAAGGACAAGGGGTCCGCTCTCTGGCTACGCTCTGAGGTCGTGCTGCCCTTAGACCTGGGGTTTGATTACTAGAGGACTCTGCTCTCCCCTCCCCTCCCCCAGCACCCTCCCCCGTGGCAAGGAATCCACAGGGCCGCCTGGCCACACCTGCATTCTAGACTATGCTCCAGTGCCTGGACCTCAGAATCCCCATGGGAACGGCCTGAGACGATCTACAAGGCCATGGTGCGTCCTTTCCTAGTCCATCCCCCAGAGGGTGACCACGGCACTGAGTCTCTGCACCCTGGGGTGTGAGGGGTGCCTGAGGGTGGCTGTTTGCAGGTGTGGTGGAGGGCGGGGGTGGGAAGGCTATGGATGTGCCGATGCCAAAGTGCACACCAGGGCTCTCGGGGTGCTGGACAGAGCTAGGGGTTCGAGGAGAAGGGGTGGGCTGTGGACTCAGGGCCTCCATTCGTAGGCCTTGCTCTGGGCCCTGCAGGGGTGTGAAAGAGAACCCCAAGCCTTCCACAGACCAACCAGAGCCCACATCCTCTCCTCAGCATCACTAGCCCAAAGGCGCCTGCCCACGCCACTGAACCCATCCATCCTCCCACACACCTGGGGACGGAAGCCATAGGGCAGATCCCAGCGTCTCTTCTCACAAGCAGCTCGTTGCCTTTCTCCACATTCCCGCCAGCACTCAGGTTTTGGTAAGTTAGAAGTTCATCTGAGTCAATGACTACCCTACTGGGCCCTAAGGTGAGGCAGGAAAAGGAACCACGGATATTTAACCTGTAAAAGCCATTGGGCCAGTCTCCATTCCGCCCTGCTCAGGCACAGCTGGAGCGTAGACAAACACTTAGGGCGAAAGGGCAGATGGAGGCATGGGGCACAGGATGGGAGCCTTCCACAGCAGTGGCAATAGCTGTCATTCATCCAGCGCAGGCCAATCGCCAGCCTCCAGGCTCTGAGAGGAAAGAGCAGAGCCCGAGTGCCTGGGTTCGAAGCCCCGCTCGGCCACCTACGAGCTGCGTAGCTGCAGGTGAGGTACCTACTGCCTGCCTGCCTCAGTTTCCTCCGCTTCGAACTGGAGGTCAGCCACACACCCACTCCCAGGCTGCCGCGTGAGCGCGGGTGGAGCGTTCAGAGGGGCCGTGAGCACGCTCCAAGTGTCACATGTCATTAATGGCCACAGCTCCCCGAGGTTGGAATTATCACCCCCAACGTGCAGATGAGCAAGAGCCTGGGGGACATTCAGCGGTTTGATGATGAGCAGCAAAGCCAGGACTCGCCAGCCCAGCCCTAAAGCCCCTGGTCCGTCCAGGACGCCCGTGGATGCTGCCGCTGGTCCGTCCAGGACGCCCGTGGATGCTGCCGCCCTGGCCTTGGGCAGCAGGGGCGGGGAGGGGAGGGGAAGGGAGGGGAGGGGCGTGGCTGGAGGAGATCCTCACTTGGAGAGGAGACCACAGGAGAGGGAGGCTGTTTGCAAAAGGCTTTCCCACGGTCTCCAGAGGAGGGAACAGGTGCAGACTAGTGAGAACTATTTCCACTGTGTCCATGACATGAGCTGCCCTGAGCAGCGAGTCCTCCGCAGGAGCTGCGCAGGCAGACTTGCCCAGGATGTTCTAAGTTTACATGAATTCACTATGAGCGAGTTTCAAAGGAACTAAATATGAGTAGGTTAATGTAAAGTCAGTCATCAGCAATATTTTGAGTACTGGTGAATTTGATTCAAAGAAAATATGAGCCCCCAATCTGTAATACTCTCAGCAATAAAAATAAATTCTGAAAACACACACACACACGCACACACACACACACACACACACACACGCACACACCCTAGAATAAATCCAGGAGTCGTGTGTGAATTCGTCTGCTTCTCAGGTTTCCTCAAGACCTGAGAGGCCCCAGGGAAAACAGCCCACCTCTCCACCCTGCCCTGAGACACAGCGAGAAAGGGGCGTGTGGGCGCCTCACCTGATGGAGAGGTAGTCCAGTCTCTCCCGGGACAAATGGTGCCTGCACTGTGGGGACCGCTGTGCAGGGAGCTGGGTGGGGGGGGGGGCACATCACTGCAGCCGCAGTCATAGCCCCGAGCTGGCAGCGGGCAGACCCCAGAGCTGTGGAGCCCAAGGAGAGACTGATGTCCTGCCGGGCACGCCCCTGCGCCTGAGGTGGGGGACAACGTCTCTTTATTGACCTACTGCACGTATCTCACAAAGAGAGCCACAAAGCAACAGCCCATCAGCGCCACCAGCGAGGCGGAGATCACCACGACGACCACGCTCCCGGCCATGTTGACCAGGAAGCCCAGGCCCCCTCCGACCAGGATCTGGGCCAGCTGGACCATGCAGGTGAGGGTGGCACAGTCCAGGCCCTGCCCGCGGCCGCCGCTGTCCGGGGCCCCTGCCCGGGCCTTCTGCTTCTGCAAGGCAAACACAGGACAGCGTGTGAGCTACACGGAACGCGCCAGGGCCGAAGCTGGCAGCCTTTCTGTAAAGACCCAAACAGTAAATGCTCCCGTGGGGTGGCAGCTACTCAACCCTCTGCCGTGGCCAAGGGAAAGCAGTTACAGCTGGTAAACCAGTTGCGTTCCAGCACAACCTCACGAACACGGGTACTTGAGTTTCCTGTTATTTTCACCTGTCACCGAATGTTATCTTTCTGTTGATTTTTTGTAAAAATCATTTAAAAGTTTTAAAGAACTCTTTGTTCACTGGCTGTATAAAAGCAGGTGGCTGACCACATTTGGCAAGGAGACGGACATAGTTTGCCAAGCTCTGATTTAAGGTGGCCGAGAATCTTCACCCCCTTCCCTTAAGCTGTCAGAAAGCCCTTAGTTCCACCATTAGCACCTTGGCAGTTAAATGGTTAATATAGGAAAGTAAAATCGTCTCTTCCTAAAAGTTAGTAAGTACAATGTAGTGAAAACAATAAATTACCCATTCTTTCCTTCATCAGTGCTACAAATGCAAACATTGTTAGGAGGCTGTTGAATCACAGATATATATAGGAGAAGCAACATCAAAGA